CCGAACAATTTTCATATTTTAAGATTACCATTTATAGCTTGGAATTATAGCAGAAATAATGCTCAAAAAAAATTCTCAAACGTCGAGAATAAATACTCAATTTTCAGAAAATACTGAATAATTTTTTTTTAGATATTATCTATTTTAGCGGCAAGGTTATTTTTGATAATTTAAAAAAAACTATTTAGGGAATTTTTTTTCCGGCTTCTTTTTCCGAGGATTTATTTTCCCCTATATTTAATTTAAGATTTAAAAAATGGATGATTTATTTCCGGGGAAATTTTTTCCTGGGAATAATCTTCTATGGGAATATTTTCCCAGGGGAATTGTTTTCCGGGTAATTATTTTCCTAGGATTTTTTTTCCGGTGAATTATTTTCAAGGGGATATTTTTTCCTGGGATTTTTTTGGGGGAATTATTTTCCAGAGGATTTTTTTCCGGGGATTTATTTTTGGGGATTTTTTTTCGGTTTTTTTTAGGGGAATTATTTTCCACTTACCAAATTCAACATCTAACTCTTTATCTCTGCAATTAGTTTGGCTCGATTCTCTCGATTTTGTTGAATCTTCCATATGTTATGAATAGAATCACTTGATGACAGTCTTATATAATTTAAATTCTTTGATTTATAATAAACTGCAAGATGACCAATTCTTTTACATTTGTTATATGTCGCATTTGTAGCTGGACATCTCACTTCTCGGTTATGAATAAACCCACATTTATAACATTTAAATTTATTATAATCTTTATCAAGGGTATTATTATATTTTTATTTATTATTCTCTGTATCAAATGTATTGCTATACTTGTATTTGCTCGCTCAGATGCGATTACCAGATCAAGAATAAATTGGAAAGTTATTATTATTACTATCCGATTGTCAGTGGAAAGTCAATACATTATTATCTCTATCAAGACCGTCGGGATATAGAGCCACAAGATCTCTTTCCAATCGCGGCATTTCCATGCCAACATCAAACTGATCACGTAAACGCTCGTCAATATTATTAAGATATTGACAACGCTTGCCAATTGTTATAATTTTATCTGCAAATTCAGTTATGGTTTTAGTTGTTCTCCCTAGTCTAACGAAATCAAATCTAGAAGCAAAAGGTGTTGACGTTGGTTTAAATAATTCAGAACATATTGACATGAAAAATAAATCAATTGAATCAGGATAACAAGAACGGTTCACCAACTCAATATTCCTATTGCCAAAAGATGTTAAAAATATATCTTTATATTGACATATTCAGTAGGGCTTACGTTTTTTAACCGAAAACTGGCTTGAGAAAAATATCTATGAATCGAATTTTTGCTATCGAATTTATCAAATTTAATCGTAGATAAGTCCGACAATTTTATTTTATCCGCCAAATTTTTTGAATTTCCTAAGGAATTATTCCATTTAAGGAATTGTTTTCTCATTTAAAGAAATATTTTCTCCATTCCGCTATTATAATAAAACGACTAATAATTAGTTATTTATAAAATTACCATGGATTAAGTCGTTTTATTATTTTCAAAATTATTACATCAATAATAATTAATTTAAATTGGAAATGTTCTATAAATACAATTTATTACAATCTCAATGTAATTCTTTTCATTTAACAAAATTTTCTTAATTTTGGCTTGCCATCCATGAGTTTCTATCGGAATTGAAATATATATGATATTAATAATTTTGAAATATTTTCATTAAATCTAATTGATTTTCAACCATATGAAATGAGAAAGCAGTATATTTGTTTTTAGAATTTTATTTTTAGTATAAATTTATTTTGAATTCTAGATAATATAAAAAGTATAAAATTAAAAATAATAAAAAAGATTTAATATAATTCCCTAATCTAGTCTTATGCCATAGTTAACATAGAATAAAATACTGGAGAAATAAATGGCAACCATTATTAAGTTTCTCAAGTATAGAAATTTTAACTTGAAGATGATAATAAATATTCCTAATTTAAATATCATCTTAAAAAAATATTATGTAAATTCCATATATACAAAAAAAAATTTTTTTTAATATTTAAACAATGATTGATATCTGTCCTGTAAGTTTTAAATGTCATTAGGGTTTAGATGGTTCCATGTAAATTCAGCAAAACTTTTATCGCGACACTTTTTTGTGCAACTTTCATCGCGAATGTCGTTTACCGCGAATGAATTTTATAGCGAAACTTTTATCGCGAATCCAAATTAGCGAATACTTTTCAGCCAAGACAATATATCGAAATAAATATCGCGAATTTTTTATAGCAAAACTCTTATGGCGAATCCTTTAAAGAGAATACATTAGAGCGAAACTTTTACCGCGAATCATAATCGAGAACATTTTATAGCGAAGTCATTATTTCGAAACTTAAATCGCAGACAATATAGAGCGAAACTTTTACCGCGAATCATAATCGAGAAAATTTTATAGCGAAGTCATTATTTCGAAACTTAAATCGCAAAGACAATATAGAGAAAACTATTTCGCGAAATATATCGCGGCCTATAATTATTTATTTATTTTTATTAAAATAATTTATTTTATTTATATTTAATGTTAATATTTTATTTATCAACAAATAAACATATGATATGATTTATATTTTTAATTTATATTAATATGATTATTATAATATGAAAATGGATTTTTTTTTATTTGATGTTTTTTTAATTAAAAAAAATAATATGCTACTAATTGTAATATTATTTTTGTTACACTTTATTATTAGTGATTTTCACGACCAAAATTTTAAACAAAAAATATTTTTTGAAGTTCAATAAGATTTTTGAACATATTTTGATAAAAATGTTAAATTTTCTTTGTAAATAAATCTTTTTTGAGGAATTCTTTTGTGAATTTTATTATAAATAAGCAATCTTTTAGGTGAAATCTTTAAAGTTTTTTTTTATCATTTTTGTAAAATTATATATATTTTTAAGTATATTAAAGGATCTAAATGGGTAAAAATATAGATTGTAAACTTATTAAATTAAAATTACATGAAGATGCACAATAGAAAAGTGACAATTGTCAAAATGGTTATTTTTAAACTTTTTTTGATATAAATAAGCCAAAATAAGTATTGATAATATGTTTAAATATAACTTCAGTGAAGATGTACCCAACCCAAGATAAGTGACAATTGTCATAATCGTTATTTTTAAAGTTTTTTGAATTTTTTTGACCCAAATGTGCAAAAATATAAATTGCTAACATGTTAAAATAAAATTTCCGTGAAGATGTACCATAGATAAGTAACAATTGTCATAATCGTTGTTTTTAAAGTTTTTTGTATTTTTTTGACGCAAATGGGTAAAAATTATAGACTGTAACATGTTAAATTAAAATTTCATGAAGATATATTATAACTTTTTTGAATTTTTTTGACGTAAATGGGCTAAAATAAATATTGCTAACATGTTAAAATAAAATTTCAATGAAGATGTACCTTAGATAAGTGACAATAGTCATAATCATTATTTTTGAAGTTTTTTTGACGCAATTGTACAAAAATATAAATTGCTAACATGTTAAAATAAAATTTCAGTCGAAACAAAAAAAACAAATCGATATTTTCATGCTCATAATCGTTGTTCCTTTTATCCTGCTTAAAATTTAATAAAAATATGCAAAGTGATTATTAAAGATAGTTGTAACTTATGTTAAATTCTAAACTTTTAAGATATGGATCCACAATTTTATTCCTTTAATTAATTAATTTTAATTCTACATTATAAAAATGTATAACCGCATTCACAGTTAGCAAATAGTTATGCATACTAGTGGCAAAATAGTGCTGAGTCTGAATTCAGGGTAGGATTTTTATAAAGAGAACTTAAAAACTATATGAATATTATTTGGTAATATGATACCAAAAACATCCTATAAATTTAATGTTAAGATTTTGAATTTTATAAACATATGGTTAAAAAGAATTTCAATCTATATTTTAACCCATTTGCGTCAAAAAAAATCAAAAACTTTAAAAATAACGATTATGACAATTGTCACTTTCCCATTGTTCATCTTCATAAAATTTTAATTAATATCTATATTTTTACCCATTTGCGTCAAAAAAATCAAAAAACTTTAAAAATAAGGATTATGACAAGTTTCACTTATCTAGGGTACATCTTCACTAAAGTTTTACATAAACATGTTAACAATACTTATTTTAGCCCAAATACGTCAAAGAAATGTAAAAAACTAATTGTCGCTTTTATAGAGTGCACCCTAATTGAAATTAACATGTTAAAAATACATATTTTTGCCCATTAACGTCAAAAAAATCTAATATGTTACCGATTATGATAATTGTAATTTTTCCAAAAAACATCTCCATTTAATTTATAATTTAATTTCTTTACAATATAAATGATATTTTTACTCTTTAGAGTCAAAAAATTCCGAAAATCTTAAAAAATAATGAATATGACAATTGTCACATTAAATTATTTTCCTATAAAATAACATAAATAAGTTAAATATAAATATTTTAAAAAAAATTATTTAGAAAACCCACCTCTTTTAATATACTTAAAAAATAGATAATTTACAAAAATGATATAAAAAAACTATAAAAGGTTGTATATTTATAATAAATTTTACAAAAGAATTCCTCAAAATAATTACAAAGAAGATTTCAAATTTTTATCAAATATTTTTTGCCTAAAATTTTGGGCGTGAATCACTAAAAAATTGTGATAATAATATTAGAATAGTACCATTATTTTTTATTAAAAAACATCAAATAATAACAATATGTTGTTTTCCAATAAATGCATTCGCAATATATTTATTGTTTCGAGTTACATATTCGCCGTAAGAAATTCGCTGTAAAGGGTTCTCATAATAAGTTTCGCTAAAATTTATTCGCTCTAATGAATTCGCGGTTAAGGTTTCGCATTTTCTTGGCTATAAATGTTTCGCGGAAAAGAGTTTTGCAATAAAATTTTCGCTGAATTGACCTGATACGTTTAGAACTTGCAAAGTTTTACTGTCAAATGTCATTGATCACATAAACAAAATTTTTGGGCATTTTGATATTTTTAATTAAGATAAATGACCAATATAAAATGTGATTTGGTCAAATTCGTGATAGAAGAACATTTTGGGGAAGTTTGTGCTGAAATTATACATTTTATAATAAAATATGGTCCATCTATTATATCCTCTATAATAAATCACTTAAACAGAAACTATAATTTGAGAGCTTGTGAGGTAATTATAAATTGAGACTTACAATAGTATAAATAGACTAAATTATATATAGGACATTTAATAAACCATAATCTGGTGAATTATAATGAAAAAGATGTTAGAGTATATTATGATGTAAATGTTCAAAGTATTTTTTATCTTATCAGATTCTCTAAGTAATATATTTATTAATTTTTTAATGTATTATATTTTTACAGATATGTATATATTACAAGACAGAATTTTGGGAAAATTGCTGAAACAATTATTATAAATATATTAAATTTAGGAAGGACAGATATAGTTAATTTGCTTGCTACAACTTATCTCAAATTGAAAAGTTAAATATTCATTTTTAACAATTACTATAATAAATTTAAAGGTAAACATGACTATTTTGAAATAAAAGACCAATTACTGAAGCTTATATCACATAAGTTAATCAGACGTATAGCATGGTTAGAAAATGAAATTAATTTAAAAGATTTCCAACTGACACCTAAGCTAGTTTATATAGAAAAATTTGCTTATAATATACCGAAAGATTTTGATTTTAATAATGGTATTTATATAATCAATTAATTTTCAAAATATTTCCTGCTTAGAAATACAGAATTTAAAAAAACTAGAAAGATCTATATTAGATACTAACCCTACTGCAAAGAGATTAAAACTTTCACACATATATCAAACAAATAAAGTATATTGGATGATGAATTATGAAAAGCTAGATTCTATTCTTGTAGAACAGGTATTTAAATAACATTTTATAATATGACAATTTATTAAGCTAATATCACAAGCTTTAAAAATCAGATATATTGAACCATATTGCAATTTCTGTCAATTGGACATTTCTACTAATAATTACCTAAATAATGTATCACAGAAAATATTTAATAATTTAAAAAATGATTATAAAGATAATGGATTTTTAGTATTTTCTTTGGAAGATTTAATTAGTTCAAAAATTGAAGATTCACTTAAAGATAAATATAAAAATGCCATCAAACAATTGCTTGAATATTTAGCCACTGATAGTGAATATCTTAATCATGGCAAAATTAAAGAAAAGGAAAAAATAGGATGGATATACAAATTGACAGATTCTAGCTATAAATTTTATATGGACAAGAGCATTCATGATATTTATGCAGAATTTATTTTTTATTTCATAAAGAATAAATATGGTTCCAAGGCAGCCAGGATTTATAAGTTTAAATCTTTTATTAATTTTAAAAATTAAATTTTCATGACTATTTTTTTTTAAAATTAGTAACCAAATATATACAACATAAGTAGAAAAACTTTAATTGCATAAGTGAGGAATATTTCACCCAAAATCTTAAATACCTATATTTCACAAAATATTAAATTGATTTTGCACAATTGTTAGGATTTAAAAAAATAGTGAATTTTTTAAAAACAGTGGCCTTAAAAAAAGTTTAAATACCCCAGCCAAAATCATTGTTTTTAAATATGGCTCAGCCATCCCAGTCCTTAACCCATTTTAAAACTCCATCATGATATTTGGAGTAAAACTTTTAATTTTATAAATCTTAAAGATTTATCTATTATTCACTTCCTTATTTCTAGTTCTAAAAACAAAAAGTCCTTGTAATTTATAACTTTTTTTCAAACTGCATTTTTTTCCTATAACCCCATTAAATAATTTCCTATCTATGATATGCTAGGAAATATTTTATAATGTAAATATTAAGATTTAGTAAAATTTAATATTGTATAAAAAAATCTAAATATTATATAACTTTATTTTTCCAAGACAGTCATAAATCAAGATTAAAATATTGATAAACTTATAAACTTCAAGGGAAAATTTTATCAATTCATAATCATACATTAATAATTGAAAATAATTCATGAATTTATTATTAAATTATATAGAATTTTTATTTTATTTATAAATTACTGGTGGTAAGCAGGGTTGCCAGGTCAAAATTTTCAAATTGCAGGAGAAAATGAAAATAGTAGTAGAAATATAAAATTGCTAAAAAAAAAATAACTTGTGAGCCTTCACCCTGCAATGGCCATGATTTTAATTGACTTAGTTATCCGCCTATTATATTTTATAATAATTAGTTTATAATACAAAATCGGTAACTATTTTTCAAAATAAAATAGGTAATTATAGTACAAGACAAATTTTTTTTAAATACTATCTTTATTATTAAAATAACATCTTGATTTTAAAATATATTAATTTTATAAAATAAAACGAGCGATCTTTTTTAAATAAAATTGAATGTAAACATGATAAAATTTTATAAAAAAAACAAACGATTTTAATTTTACTATGTAAAAAATATAATTTATGTGAATGTCCCGCAAAACTACCACAATTGAAAATCTACCGTATAACATTATAGGAATAAGTGCTTAGTTATCACGTTTAAATACACAATAAGGTAATATGTTATTTCAATGATAATTATTTTATTAATTATAGTTCAATCACATTATTATTATAATCAGTGCAGGGGAGAGAGTATCTACATCTATTGCAAAACAAAAATTTCTCCAAAAATAAGAAATAATGCAGATGCAACTACAGTTGTGGCAATGGTATAACTTATCATGTAATACAACATTCACAGAGCAACTTATTATCACATGGGTAGAATCTTTTCCCATAATATTTAACGACTCCAATATGAAGGATAAAGGGAAATATTTTCAAGTTAAGTTTGCATTTCAACAATAATAAAGTCATTTCAATAAAACTGTTTAAAATTATTTCCTCGGATAGTGAAAAATTCAACAATATAGCTAACCACATAATGGTAAATATAGCTGATTTAGGGTTATCAATAACTTGCATTTCAGCTTTCTGTGCTGATAATTCCTCTGTGAATTATGGCAAAAACCAAAGTGTATTTACCGAATTGAGTTATCAAAATATTGGTTGCGACATGTTCCTAATACCCGCCATCGATAGAATTTTAAAATTTTACAAACCTTTAAAAAAATATTTCTTAAATAAATTATAAAAGCTGTCCTAACATTTTGAAAGTAGGAAATCTACTACATGCTGTTAATATGAAGTTAAATCAGAAGAATATTTTTTAATAAAGATTTACAAAATTATGCTGCAGGTGTGTTCATAATTTACAGTTAAAAATTGACAATAAATTTTAAGGCGCCATTGCTAAAAATTTATTAAAATGTTCAAATATTTTAAAAATACTGATAGACATTGATGTCTTGTTTGGGGAGATTGTGATGCTCTCTATTTTTCATTTGCCAGAATATTCAAAATATTAATTTTATAATGTAAAAAATATATTTTATTTGAGTTGAATAATGGAACTAAACGGTTATTGAGATATTTATAAAATTCCTGGCATGACATATAATTTTGTTTAACCTTTAGCTCAGCCTCTAATGTTGTTAAAGCAATCCGATTTCTCTCCTTTCTCCAAGCAGTCCTCATCAGGCTAAAGATGTTTTCCGATAGAATGCGGTAAGGAGAAAACATACTCGCATATTTTTTCCAAGCATGGGGAAAAATATTCCACCCATTTCTTCTCTGCTTTTAGAACTTTAAGTATTCTGGCAAATAGAGAGAATTACTATCTCCTCAAACAAGACATCAATGTCTTTCGATATTTATATATTTATTAAATTACAAAACCATCAATGATGGTTTCTGTTCCTAGGTCATAATATTAATACATTTGTAAATAGAGGTATTAAAAATTTTGATTGTAAATATTATAAAATTGTCAATAAAAATATCTGCTTCATTTAAAAATATATTAATTAGAGTATTATTTGAACATTTTAATATAATATTTTTAGCAAAAGCGCCATAAAATTTATTATCAAATTTTAACTGTAAAGATGAACAGTGCTATAGCATGATTTTGTGAAGAATCTTCTGATTGCAACTGAATATTAACTGCATGAAGTAGATTTTCTACATGTGAAACTAATCTCAAATATGCTTCTGCCATTTCATCCTCGAAATTTTTCAAAATTTTAGGACAGCTTTTAAAATCTTTATTTAAGATTTTTAAGGGTTCGTAAAATTTTAAAATTCTTTCTATGGCAGGTATTAATGTTAACCACCTGATAGGTACATGTCGCAACAACTCACACCATTCCAAGTCAGACCACTGCACCAACTTTTAATTCATTAACTCTTTTAGTTGATGAATTAAATCGTTAAAACATTTATCACAATTATTTACATCCACGAATAGGGATGTACCGATATTTTTTATCGGGCCGATATTTCACCCATTTTAAAATATTAGTTATCGGCCAATATTATAAAATTTCCGATCCGATATAAAATGGCGTCTTTGACAAAAATAAAATTTTTAAAAAAAAGTTATATCTAAAATCATTTATTTTTATAAGTAAAATCGAAATCCATTTTTATGTAATATTACTTTAATAATAATTAATTAATAAACATTCTGCCATATTGTTATTTTTTTGGGCATTCTGTTTATAAAAGTGTGCGATAATCTCTTAACAATCAGTTTTTAGTGAAGCTGATGATATTGTCAGTTTCCATCGCCACAGGCTGACCTCTGATAAATTGGAAATTTTGGTATTTCTAAAAAGAAATCTTTGTATTATTTTAAATATTTATTTAAAATTTCATATATATTTGTTTATTACTTATTATGTATATAGATTAATGTATTACTTATTATATAAAAGTGATTTAACATTAAAAATATTTTATTGAATTGAATTGAATATAAACTATAACTGATCATTATAATATATTTAAATGACATAAATTATGGTATAGTTAAATTATAGATGTGATACTAATAAAAAGTGTATTAAAAATTAAAACCATTGGTATCTTTACAGAATACAAAATTATAGGGGGGATAATTGGATACCTAAAACTATACTCTATAAAGGTGCCTTATAAAAAATCTTAAGAATATAATCATTTTTTTTAAATTTTATTTTTTGTAAAAGTGAAAATTTTGTTCAACAAGCCCCAATAGCAGGGTGAGGCAAACCACTTCAAGGGGCTTCCTAAACCATTGGTTTTTTTAGGCCATAATAAATTGAAATGCATTTTTATTTATTAATATATGTATAGAATAATTTTATTATTTTTTGGTTCAAAATATCATATTACTTATAAATTGAAGCTAATTATATATAAAAATGGAAACTTAATTTTGGCTCATTTAATAAACATTTTGGACATATAAAAATATGAATTTTAAGGAGAGATTAAGATTTCTTAGCATAAATCCTAAATACCAATCATAAACAGCCATGAAATTGCCTTTTAAAGATTTTGATATTTTTTTCACCATAATTGACGTGTATGGTTTAGCAAACCCTGTTAGCTCTAAATTGACAAATCATGATTGAAATAATATATAGATTTGATAAATACTCATAAAACTCACCCAAATTATAGAAGAATGTTTAAACTTTGTAATAAAATTTAATTTACATATAGATGATTATATATTTTAATAAAAATTATAATTCTGTCATGTAAAAATCTTTTGAAAATTTCATCAAAATTTTATTAAATGAAATTTTTAATATTAGTAATTAATTATTTCAAAATATATTTTGTCCATAGATGTATACCAATGAAAACTATATTAGGATAAAATTTTAACCTTCTGGTGTATTTAATTTTAAAATGAGATTAAGTGGTTTGCCAAGCCCCGGGGTTTACCTAACCCCAGTCTCCATGATATCGGATCGGTAATCGGCTGATATCAATTTAATATTGGGAATATCGGATCGGCCTCTAAAAAGTGGTATTGGTACACCCCTATCCACGAATATTACATTCATTGCCTTCTTGCAAGAATTATGTAATATATGGCATATACAGTGAATTGGTATTAATTCATTATCTTGCTGCCTCAATTCGGTAAATACACTTTGGTTTTTGCCAAAATTCACTGAGGAATTATCAGCGCAGAAAGCTGGCATGCAACTCATTGTAACCCTGAATCAGTTATATTTACCATTATGTGGTTAGCTATATCGTTGAATTTTTCACTATCCGAGGAAATAATTTTTAACAGTTTTATTGAAATGACTTTATTCTTGTTGAAATAGCGAAGGATAAAGGGAAATGTTTTAATATTTTCCATATTAGATGCATCTGTTAGAATTGCATATGGGTGCCCATTTTTCAAATCGTCTAGAATATTGACCTCTTGTATTCAGGTCCTAAAACATTTGTGATAGCCTTGCTCATTTTTTCTACCACAAGTAAAGTTTGCACTTATATTGGAGTCGTTAAATATTATGGGGAAAAGATTCGAACCACAATGTGATGATAGATAGCTCTGTGAATGTTGAACTAGATGATAAGTGTACGATTTCCGCAACAGTAGCTGTATATGTATTGTTTATTATTTTTGGAGAATATTATTGTATTGCAATCTGTTGATATACTCCCCTGTACTGACTTATATGAATGAAATAATCTTGATTTATTATTGGATAACAATAAAACAGGATAGAAAGAAATTTACAAACTAGACATGTTTTTCGAATAAATATTTAACAATTATTTTAAAAATATAAAAATAATCAATTACTGTCTCTCAAAATTATTATTTATATATAAAAAACGTTTAAATGCTAAAAAAAATTTGTGGGAGAACTTAAAAAATTGCGGGAGATTTCCAATTGCGGTAGTTTTGCGGGAGCGAGATATCTGCGTGTAAACTAAATAATTGCGGGAGTCTCTGATGAGGAAAGACATGGCAACCCTGGTGGTAAGAAAATATGTTTATTCATATAAAGTTATTATACCTAAGAAGTCTGATTTAAATATCTTAAAAATCAGCTTTCTTGAATTCTTTAAAATGTCAATGATTTAAATGCATGTTGGTTACAAAAGAAATTATATTCATAACTATTAGATTGGATCTAAGGAACTGACAATAATGCCATTTTTTCATACAATGACAATTAAGATCATTTAAATGAGGATTGTATAATGGAAATAAAAGTAATTATTTTTTTAAATATTTATAAAACAAATCCTTTAAAGTTTGATCAAGCACAAAAAGGCCTGTGAACAGAAGAAGATCGAAGAATTGGCCATGATGCCCCCAAAAGAGGTGAAGGAAAATGTATACACCATATTAAACACTGGCTTAATAAATATTCAAGAAGTTTCTAAGGGGACCGATTTTGCACCCTCCAGAACTTTTTACCTGTTTAAGGCGGCCTCAGATAATGACAGCTTACAGATCATGTCCAATTATTGTTACAAAGTTAGTTGTTATTAACACCATTGAACTTAAAATTGCATTGTTTGTTTAACATAGGAATTTAATATTTTACGCTATTTTCCATAAGATTAGCTTACGTTTCATAGGATTAGCTTACGTTTCATAGGATTAGCTTACGTTTCTTTGTTATTTTGTTTTTAGGGACAGGTAAATTTTTTATTTATTTTACTAGGGATAAACTGATATTATTATTTTGTTAGTTAAGGTATTCTACTATTAAAAATCGTATTCGTACTTCCTGAAAGCTGGCCCTCATAAAATGAGTAGAAAAAATACCCTAGTTAAAAGCCCTTCCCGTTTACCACGTTTTATTTTAGCAAAAAAATCATCAAATGAGCTCCTCTTGCTTAATAACAGGGTTCGGGTAGGAACTAATTTTCAAAAAAGAACCACGGAAGTTTCTAAAAACTTAACATTGCACCACATATAAAGACCAAACTGGGACATGGTTCTGATTGATTTCTTTTGGCTTTGAATACCTCATTATAAAAATTTGTGATTTCACCTTGAAATATTTTTTATACATTGAAATTACGAAGGATTTTGGCATTTTTAGGTAAAATTTGATAATTCTTATTTAAAAAAAAATTATTTTTGAAGATGTTTCAAACTCTGAAGTAAACATTAAATATGTTAATTTATATTTCATTGAATATCTAAATATGTATTGATAACCTCTCATCGATTTAATCAAATCGCAATTTATTTAAAAATCTAGATATTTATATTTTACCTTAATAATGTAATTTTGTTTCGTTTTTAAATATAAAAATTATAAAAGATTTTTCCATTTAAGTAAAAATCAAAATTCTCTCTTAATTTAAAAAAAACATTTTTACTCAAAATTTTTGAATAAAATTAGAATAATAAAAAATATTTATATCGCGAAAAATATAAATTTCACAAGGTAAAAAAAAATGGAATAAAATATATTTAAAAAAAAAATTTTTCTGCATTTAAAAATTTAAGAAATAATGCAAGATTATATATGGTTAAAAAGGTAAGAATTGTATAAAAAATTTATTGCATTAAAAATCATAGGATAATTCAAAAATAAATAAAATGTACACTTTGAGTAAAAAATGATTAGAAATATATATATTCTAAGATTTCAATAAATTAAATTTTCATTTTGATTCTCCTCGGGCCTTTAGCCATTTTTTCTAATTCTTTTCAAAGTTGGGAGTGTGATCTCAGTATATGTTTAATAAGGCGAAGTCCTAAAACTTAGGAATTGTTTGAGGTTTTTTTTACCCCTCAGTGGTTTTAGGGAGATTTGAAGGATGGCTTAAATTATTGTACCAAAATTGGACATCAAACATTTTTAATGATCATAACGACCTTCAATATCGGAAACATAAAACGAAACTAATCTTTTTATACTAATTACCAGTGGCGTAGCTAGGAATTTTTCTTAGAGGGGGTCCATACATATAAAAGCCTGGGGGGATTCGCCCCCCAGACCCCCTTTAACGGGCCTTCGGCCCTTTCCCCCGGCCTTCGGCCAGGTTAATCTTACAAATCATAACCATATCTTCTATAATATATAATATATATATTTTTTAAATGCATCAATAATATGTTATTATAATTTAGTAGATTATTCTCAATGACTTTATAATAGTACTATCCAGAATAATTTCAATAGTAATATAGTATCCTTCTACAAACATCAAAACCAGAAAAATATAAATACTAATGGCATTTATATAATATAAAGTCACTTTTAAGTCTTTTGAACGTATAATCTAGAAAAAAGATTTAGCTCTGGGAGGGGTCCACCAAACCCGAAAACCACCCCCGTAGCTACGCCACTGCTAATTACAATACAATGGTTTATTACTAATTTTTACTTGCTAGATGTTGGTAAGAAAAAAATAGAATGTTTAATTAATTTTAATATGGACAGCAAATTATATGTTGTTAATATATCTATGAAAAATATAAATATTAATAATCTAATATATATAATCTCCATAATCAAAACATGATCGTTTTCGTATCTTCCTAATATATTTAAAATTTAAGGGACTGTATAGTGTGGGGATGTACCGATATTTTTTATCTGATCGGATCGGGCCGATATTTCACCTATTATAAAATATCGGTTATCTGCTAATATTATAAAATTTGCCGATCCGATATAAAAGGCGTCCTTAACAAAAATAAAATGTTATAAATTTTTTAAAAAAAGTTATATCTAAAATCATTTATTTTTATAAATAAAATCGAAATCCATATTTTTTTAATAATAATAATTAATTAATAAACATTCTGCCATATTGTTATTTTTTTGCGCATTCTGTTTATAAAAGTGTGCGATAATCTCTTCAGAATCTGTGAAGCTGGTGATATTGACAGTTACCATCGCCGAAGGCTGATTTCTGATAAATTGGAAATTTGGCTAAAAATAAATCTTCGATATATTAATGTTAAATATTATTTTAAATATTTATTTAAATTCCATAATATATTTGTTTATTACTTATTATGTATATAGATTAATTTTGTTACTTGTTATATAAAAGTGATTTATAATAAAAATATTTTATAACTTTTAGGCAATAGAATTGAATATAAACTATTACTGATCATTATTATAATTTAAATGACATAAGTTATGGTATAATTAAATTATAGATGTTATACTAATAAAAAGTATATTACAAATTAAAACCATTGGTATATTTGCAGAATACAAAATTAGATATGATATCGGATCGGTTATCGGCTGATATCAATTTAATATCTGGAATATCGGATCGGCCTCCAAAAAGTGGTGTCGGTACACCCCTAATATAGTGTAATGTTATTTTTTATCTCTAAGTATGCACCAACTTGAATATAATTAAATTTAAAATATTAATTATATATATATTAATTAATAGCTGATAATTTTAAAATTCTGCCGTTTACTACCATACTAGCTGACGGGGTTGAAGGGTAATTATTTAGTTTGTGTGTATAGTATGTTACATCTGAATATTTATTATTGTAAAGGTTAAGATATATTTTAAAAGGTCACGTTATATATTTTAAAAGGACGTTATTTGTATATTATATTATAACTTTCCGACATGTAATATTATATTATCGAGGTTAATCAAATTGCATATTATTAGAAGTTAAATTGGATAATTATATAAATGTATATATACCAAAAGAATTACAAATAAAATTCATTATCGTTTTTTAAACTTTAATCGATTTAATATTTGGCGACAAGGTAAAAGGTCGCGCGGTTTTCGGTCTTCGGTCAAGTTAAATGTTATATAGAATTATAATTTTTTTTTGTTTAAAAAAAAATAAATAAATAAATTGATTTAGCAATTATGGATAAAAGATGAATGAGGTAAATGGGCTACTGACGACTATAGACACATAAAATATCCTCAAAATTTTCTATTGATAGAGGAGTAATTGATTTCATTAGATTAAGTCGCGGCCCTACTTAATCCATAATAAAGAACTAATAATTCGCGATCAATTAATCGCCGGAGAATTATGTTTACTACCCAGATACTAAAGACGAAGACCAACCGTTAAAACTTAAACAAGATTATAGAATTTATATGATAAAGGGCACAATTAATTTGATTGATGCAGCCTATTTGGATTTCCATGGATTATAGAATTTATGATAATGATAAAGGGCACTATCAAAATGATTGATACAGCCTATTTGGATTTCCAGGGATAGAATTTGACTTATCGTTACCAACATATGTAGAAATTAACATGATCAACAATATAATGATAATGGTAACGTGAATATTGACAAACTATATAGAGTAACCTGGAGTACTCCAATGGTAGTGGTACGTAAAACTTCAGGTGAACTACGATTTCGCAAAAATCGTTATAGATCTACAGATAAATGATGATAAAATAACAAGCGAAAATAAAACAGTGATGGTGGGAACAATTGGTCGAAATACTAGAATCGCCATCACAATCCTGGAAAAGGGAAAAAAATAAACGTACAAAACCGTATTATAACATCTCGACCAACTACGAATACAAATCAATAATAACAATTGAACCAAGTCAAAAAGGAAGGCAAACGGGTTATCCAACAAGGGAACTAAAGCCAACAAAAAAAAATTAATAGATGAACTTGAACTTGGTAAATAAAAAGATTGGTAGACGATCTTAACTTAATGGGAAAGAAGATATGTTACATCTGAATATTTATTTTTGTAAAGGTTAAGATATATTTTAAAAGTACGTTATTTGTATATTATATTATAACTTTCCGACATGTAATATTATATTATCGAGGTTAATCAAATTGCATATTATTAGAAGTTAAATTGGATAATTATATAAATGTATATATACCAAAAGAATTACAAATAAAATTCATTATCGTTTTTTAAACTTTAATCGATTTAATATGGTACTAAATATACTTTATTAATAAATTATATATAAATATTAAAATTTAGGAGAGAAAGAGGTAAAATTGTTGCAATGTATACCGTGAGCATGTATTAGAAATATCAAAGTTTAAATTTGTGATGATCATATTGGATAAAATTTAAAATAGAGATGCTTTAAGATTTTTGAATTTTAAATATGGGTTATACATTGGCCTGAAAATTTTTTTTTGCAGACATAGCAAGGCCTGATCAAAAAACCAAGTCCCATGCAACTTTCATAAAATTTTGCCATTTATTTTTATTGAATATCTTAAATTTAATTTTATATTTAGAATAAAATTTAGATTTGTGATAGAAATCATATTGTGTAAAATATAAAATAGAAATGCTTGAAAATTTTTTAATTTTAAATATGGGCTAGACATTGGCCTGAAAAATTTTTTTTGCAAACATAGCCAGGCCTGATCAAAAAACCAAGTCCCATGCAACTTTCATAAAATTTTGCCATTTATATTTATTGTAATTTAATAAAAATGTCTTAAATTTAATTTTATATTTAGAATAAAAATCTTAAATTTTAGATTTGTGATAGAAATCATA